CATAATTATTACTATTTTTAAAAAATATTAATTTTGTATTAAATTACTTTGCACCCCCTGACTCAAGGTCCTGACTCTGCTATTGCCTTTCAAGATATTATGATGTATTTAATTAGAGTTAAGCTAGCTCTCACTAAATTCTATTCTCTTACTAAATTGTAAAGCTTCGATCTAAGTTACTACAAACTCTTAAATTATTCTTAATTTAGTCATTTGTGTCTATTTTTTTAGGTTTATATAGCTTTTTCACCTTTCAGTTTATTAAATTACTCAAAAACAATTCACATAACAGCAAAAAGTAATTGAAATGAGAAAAATAAATATAAAAGCAAATATAAATTTTTATAGACAAAAATTAATGTTTAGTGAAAAAAAAATCAATACCAAATAAAGAACAAAATCTATTTCAGTCAGGCTACTTCCTACACTGACTAAGAGTTTAACAAGAACTCAAAGAAGCAGAACTACAGTCCTAAATAAAAGACACAAAAACAACCTAAAGAAGAAGAAAAGAGAGACAGCTCCTAATTCAGAAGACTCATCCGGACTCCATAATATGCCTCTTAGCTTTCTTATATGAGATTTGATCTACCAGAATAACCGTAGAAGCTTTTATTTATAACATTCAGAACGTTATTTTTCTATATTTTTCTTTCATATTAGATTTGAATTTTGAATTCAATTTCTCTATCTTCTTCTTCTTTTTTCCCTACTTTCTCCTTTCCTTCTATCCTTTTACTTGATTTATCATTTTCCTGCATAATAAAAACAAACATATGAGGATATTCTGCGTCCAAATTACCTTTTATCTGATAATTTAGTGATAAGAAAAAATATATAAAAATTAATTAAATAGAAATAAATTATTAATAAATTTAATCAATTATAATCATGTATCTATTTATTAATAAAATTCACACTTATCAATTTACATAACCATCAACACAAACGCTAGTCTACAAAAATTAAGAATTATAAATATAATTATTTCATAAATATTAATAATTTATTTTGGCCGAAAATTAAGTCCACCAATTCCCAACATTCTCCATTTAATCTCTAAACTACTTTATCCTTTAATTTAAATTAATTTCTATAAACTTTTGTCCATTTTTCACCTTTATAAATTTAATAAAAACCTCATACTCATTTTTTTTTTCAAGATACTCAAACTCTATCTATTAAGTTTATCTCAAATACATATATTCAATTCTAATATCCTCATGTTCAGTTTATTTATAAATAAATTTAAATTTTAGAGAAATTTTCTAGCTTATTAGATCATAAATAAGTCATTATTTATTTACAGTAAATCTCTCATAATATCAAAAACTACTTTGGAGTCCTAAAAATAAATTATTTGAGCAAAACCAATACATATAGATTCTTATTCTAATATTTATAGCTCTTTTAAAAGTCTAATAATAAGTTGAAAACACTTAATAAATTTAAAATCTATCTAATTCTAAATTTCTATCCTTAGTATATCCTAGAATTATTAGAAAAGAAAAATAAGAAAAGATCTAAATCCCTTACGTAATTTTAAAAAATCTCAAAATAGATGAACAACATTTTTGAGACTCCACAACACTCGAAAGGGGCTATTAACTATCATTCTCGCCCCTAATCTGACCTGACTCCTGATTTCCATAGCACCGCACAAAGAAATAATACGCTCTTTTCACGCGGGCAGGCGCGACGCCTTTTAGGCAAGGGCATTATGATATACCCAAACGTCAAAGCAAAGTGGGCTGGGCCACCACTTTGATTTTTCCATCTATTAGTTTCGATTTATATATATACATACATACACACACATCTATTAGTTTCAATTTACACACACACAAAATTTCATCCAAACTCTGAAAATTTATAATTTCGGTTAAATTTTTGTATTTTATTTAAATAAATTTTAATTACCATGAATCTCATCCCAATATTACTTAAATTTTGAAAATCATAATTGAAATGTAGCAATTAACACTGGTTAAAGGTGAGAGTTCATCGATCTAAAGATATTTGTATCCTTTTATATGATAAATTAATTACAATCAAGTTTCATGAGATCCAAATATATTTTTAAAAATTCACGGGATTTATTAATTTATAAATAAATTTTTTATATTAGACCTATTTATAATTTTCTCTTATTTTATCTAGGGTACAAACTTATGTTAGGTAAACAAAAAGGGACAACGACAATTAGATCCTAAAACAGTGAATCAATATCAGTCAAGTTCCCAACAAATTTTTTTGAAAAGTAAGTTAAAAATATCAATTCAAATTATTACAAATTCAAAAGTTTCAATTATGAATAAATATTTAAATATTAAATATAATATTTAGATTGTAACAAAAATTTTTATTTATAGCTATTTGAATTAATATTTATAATTTATTTTGTAAAAAATTATCAAGAATTTAATTGGTATTAATTCATTATTTTGGGAACTAACTATCATTCTCCCAAACAAAAATATCATAGGAAAACAAAATATCTATCATACCAAATATTCTTACTTGTATTAATACTCCCCTTGATTTTTAATTTAAACCAAACTTTGAATTTGAAAGTTTTTTTCTTAATATAAGGTAAAGTTAGAGTTAGTGACGGAGCAACTCATTAGTGAGGGTATGTAAATACACCCTTTGCTTTTGGAAAAATTACAAGTTGTGTATATAAATTTTACAACTTTACAGTGTACTCTCTATTCTTGAGATTTTGCACCCTCTAGATTAAATAAAAATATTTATTCTTAAAAACTTATTAGATATATAATATTTTAATAATAAATATCAGATATGAAAAATTTATTTCATATAAAAGATCATATCAACCTATTTAATATATATATATATATATATATTTTTAATGACAATTAATATACTGACATTATTACAATTTTATTCCTAATGTAATTATATTATTTGTAAAAAATTATTAATTTTTAAATTAAATTATGTTGCACTCCCAACTTTAGATCTTGGCTTTATCATTGGTTAGAGTAATTAATTGACAAAAAAATTCAGAATAATTAATTTTATTTTTTAATTTTATTTTTTTTATTTTTTTAGGTTAGATGTTAAAACATATAAGTATTTTGAGTTTTTTTAATTTGTAATTAATGAGCTTATTTTAATAAGACTCTTAAAAAATAAATCATTCAACCATTTACTTTAAAGGAAGAGAAGAGTGTATCAATTTAAAGACAAATAAGTAATTTAATAAAAATTTAATTCAATTAAAAATATCTTATATTTTTTAATGAAAGGAAGTAACTAATGTTTTTTAATAAATTTGAAGTTGAATGATTTTGTTTTATAGTGAGGACGGATGGAGTATTTTCTTGTATTCAAATATTTCTTCTATTTGGAAGGAAACTATGAGACCAAGGAGGATGAGTAGCTCAAAATTAAAGGAAATGTCTTGACTTGAAAATGCCCGCTCGTCGTACACATGACTTGAAAAAAATTCTTACCAGTGCAATTGCAGTCTCATTCCAGCGGCCATACTTTTCTTTTGTTTTACTTTTTGACATCCAACATATATCTGAATATAAACATACGTTTTTTTTTAAAAAATATTTTTACTGGGATATTAATTAATTTAATGTTTACAAGTCAAACATCACTTATTAAAAGTAAATATTCAAGATTTACAAATAAAAATTCTACATTTATAAGTCAATATCTTGCAATATTAATACTTTAACATTTACAAATTAAGGTTCACAAATTTACAAACTTGCCATACTTGTAATCAAGATGTTTAATTTGCAAATATAAGAAGTTGATTTGTAAATATTAACCTATCAATATTGTAAACGGTTGACTTGTAAAAGTAAGAAGTTTGAGCTAAAATTTTAGAAGATTAAATGTGATGCTGGACTTTAAATATTAAAATGTGAATAGTTGAATAAAAATTATTTTCCAAAAAATAATTTTTTAACTGATCAACACCTACGGCCACCGATTGAAGACTGCCAATAGTCGGTCAACGCCAATCAAAAGGTAAGAGTCCAACAACATTTGTATCCTTTTACTTGGTAAATTATGTACAATTAATCAAATTTCATGAGACTTGAGTGCATTTTAATTTTTTTATAAATTTATGAGATTTATTTGTAAATAAATTTCTTATATTGCAGTCCATATCAAGAGAGAATTTTATGATTAATTTACCTGGATAAAAAATTTATAAATTTTAAAGCAAACTTTGGATTTGGAATTTTTTTCTCCATATAAGATAAAATTAGAGTGATTAATTTTATTTTTCAATTTTACCTTTGTTTATTTATTATGTTTTGAGATTTTCATGATAAAAATTTATAAGATCAACAGTGTTCTCTCTCTATTTAAAAATATAAGAAATTTGGTAGGTTAGATGTTAAAAAATATAAACATTTTTAATTTTTAATGTATAATTAATGAGTCATTTTTTAAAAACCTCCCTTAAAAAATAGATCACTTTACCATCCTATTAAATAATAACAAACATGAAAAGATAATATCAATTTAAAAACAAATAATGAAACTTATTGAGAGTGTAATTTGATTAAATGCATTATATTTTTAAATGAAGAAAGCAACTAAACATTTTTTAATAAATGCAAAGTTTATTAATTTAATTCTATATTAAGGACATCATGTTACATGTTGTTGTATTCATATATTTCCTCTATTTAGAAGAATACTAAAAGATCGATAACGTGTCAAATGTTGCTCCATGCCTGTTCATTTGACCTATTTTGATCGATAAAATGCGTGTGCATCGTATGACCTGAAAAGAAAACTTCCAAGTTCAAACCATACCTTTCTTTGTGTTTTACTTTTTTTTGACATCCAATGTATAATAAACAAAGACAGCGTGGAACTTACGTGTTGTTAAATTATACTCTAAAAATGCAATCTCGGATTAATATTTCCTCGAATCCTCTGGATGAGAAAGTCCTATAAATATCAAAGCAATCTTTCAGGTTTCCTCACTCAAAGCCCTTTAACATATAACGTAACTGAAGAGAGGCATCCAACCTATTCAATATCCATCATGTCTTTGGCTGCTAGTTCGCCACTTGTTGCTTCGTCTCAATGCCCCCGGCGCTCTGCAAATTATCATCCCAGCATTTGGGGAGATCATTTTATTCAATATGCCTCCCAATCTTTGGTATTCCCACTTTGTCTTTTCAGCTTTATATGTTATCATTATTAAAGGAATCAATCTGGTACTTGTCTGCTGGATATATATGTATGTATGTATGTATGTCTGTATGTAAAGGCAATGCATATATAGGTCCTTATATTTTCAGCATTATGCATCCCTCAGTACAATAGCTTACTCCCACATAACTTGACGGTAACAAGATTAATATCACAAAATTTGATCTGCAGGAAGTGACCAACAAAATGGAGGAGCGTGTTAAAATTCTCAAAGAAGAAGTGAGAAAGATGCTCGTCTTTCCTACCAATAAGCCTGAAGCAACAACATTAATGCACTTGATTGATTCAATCCAACGTCTAGGTGTGAGCTACCATTTTGAACTTGAGATTGATTATATATTGCAACAGATTCATGAGAGTTATGTTGAAAATGGTGCAATGACTTGGGAAGACGACCTGCATACTCTTGCACTTCTCTTCAGATTACTAAGGCAACATGGATATCGCATCTCACCAGATGGTACGCCCCAACTCTCTCTGTCAAATTCCAATTTTTGTGTCTCAACCACGCCTAAAATACGTACGAAAGGATGTCAACGCACGTGACAAATTTAAACACGTAAACCTGTTGTTTCTTATGATAAACCAGATGTGTTTGAAAAGTTCAAGGATGAGCAAGGTAAAATCAGGGAAGGACTAGCTGCTGACGTGGAAGGAATGCTAAGCTTACATGAAGCCGCACATCTTAGAGTTCACGGAGAAGATATATTAGACAGAGCCCTTGCTTTCACTTCCTCTCATCTCCAGTCCATGATCACCCATTTGAATCCCTCACTTGCTTCGAAGGTCAAGCATAGTTTAAGGCACCCACTTCATAAGAATCTCCCCAGACTAGAGGCTTGCTATTATATATCCTGTTACCAAGATGATCCTTCCCATAATGAAACTTTGCTGGCGTTGGCAAAGCTGGATTTCAACATGCTTCAAAAGTTACATCAAAAGGAAATTGGAATTATTTCAAAGTAAGTTTTTGTAAACTGAAATCAATTTATCTTTTTACCCAATCATATAATTAATCGATCCGTACATTACATTTTTGTCGTGACACGCACACGTCTTAGTTTTTGGCTTATTTGGTCTACTTGACAGGTGGTGGAAGGAATTGGATTTTAAAACAAAGCTGCCCTTTGCTCGCAATAGGTTGGTGGAATGTTACCTTTGGATATTGGGAGCGTATTACGAGCCTTGCTATGTGTTGGCCAGAAGGGTAACCACCAAAGTCATATGCATCGCATCAGTCCTTGACGACATATTTGACGTTTATGGCACATTCGATGAGCTCCAACTTTTCACTGCAGCAATCGAAAGGTTGAATCATACACAGCTTAATAAATTTCCCCCCTCCATCTTTCTTAAATCAATTGCAGAGAGAATTTAGTTTATAACTTCGACTAATTAACAATTTTACGAAAACGCCTTTCATCAGGTGGGACACAACGTGCATGGAATTTTTGCCAGAATATATGAGATTCTGTTACCAAGCACTGTTGGACATTTATGAAGAAATCAAGCAGGAAATGATGAGGGAAGGAAGAGAATTTTGCGTGAAGTATGCCGTGGATGAAGTAAGAAACACAACTCCCTTTATACCTCCCCCATAATTCTCTAAATTATAATAATTCAATGATTGAATGGTGATGAAGAGCTATTCCTTCTCTGATTTGGGAATTTAAATTTCATGGGAATGGCACAGATGAAAAGCTTGGTTCAAGCCTACTTTGTTGAAGCCAAATGGTATAATAGCAATTATACACCAACAATAGAGGAGTACATGGGCAATGCACTTGTCTCGTGTGGATATCCTATGGTCATAGCCACATCTTTCATGGGGATGGGGTCTATAGCTACAGAACAAGTCTTCCAATGGCTAGCCACGGACCCCAAAATTATCAGGGCCTCAAAAATTATTTGCAGGCTCATGGATGACATTGTTACCTACGAGGTACTTATTTTAAGGAGGACAACACTGGGGTGTGTGTGTGTGTGTGTGTGTGAGTTATGTTTACCTTAATAAGATTCTTTATATACGTAGCCACAAATTTATATATTTTTCTGTGTATTGTTTACAGGATGAACAAAAGAGAGGGGAGGTTGCATCAGCCATAGAGTGCTACACGAAGCAATACGGTGCGAATAAGGAAGATGCCATTGAGGTATTTAAGAGGCAAGTGACGAGTGCGTGGAAGGATATAAATGAGGAATTACTTGACCTTAAGGATTTGGCAAGACCTCTGTTGATGAGAATTCTGAACTTCTGTCGCGTCATGGATGTGCTTTACAAGGATGCAGATTGTTACACTAATTCTACAAAATCAACAAAGGACCAAATTACAGCTATGCTGTTAAAACCCTTTCATGTAGAAAATGGCCTCTAAGTATTTTTCGTTAAAGTACATATCAGGGATAGATTCAATTTGTGGCTATGATTTAGTCTAGAATATGTAAAGAAACAAACACGACTTTCGCGGTAGACAAAGCATTGTGCTGTGCACTTGTAAGGAAATCTCCAGTAAAGATATCCCACCAAAATTTATATAGAATATTACAAAATGGTGTTCTTTTCTTTCTTTGTTTTTTTGGTTGCCATTTGCGTGTGTAGAAGTGGCCGGTATCAAAATACAGAAAACACAGAAAATAATATACAGCGGTTGAAACAAAATTAAAGCTAACTTCCGAATATCACCAAGATAGTAATGTTGGGATGTTGGTGGGACCTCGAACGATGGAGTACTTCGTAGACATGCCCGACAAGAAAATTAACACAATCAAAGTTTCTAAAATACCACAAAAAAGGTAAGTGGTCAGAATTTTAAAGCTACAATGGAAAAGGACTATCGTTTCGTTTGTAAGTGTCACGTGCATGGTGCATGCTTTAGACAACTTGTTGATGGAATTGGAGGTTTATCTGTATCCTTTTGCCAGATGGTAGTTTGAATAACTTGTCAACATCCATCGTCATTTGTCAACTCCTAGATATATAATATATCCCTAGATTCGCCGTTTGTTCTTGTCGTCAATTTTTTTTAAAGGAATAAAACAATATTACTCAAAACAAACTGAAACAAAAGTAATGGTTTGATTCCAATATTGCCTAGTGAGAATGTCCATTTATGTGGTGATTGTAAATTATGAACATCGATAACAAAAATACTCCCTCCATTTAAAAAATATAGGACATGTTTTGAGGGGTTAACAATGTTTAAAAAATATAAGAAATTTTTAATACTTTAAGGTATAATTAACGTGTTTTTTTTTTTCAAAAAAATACACAAGGCATGGATAAGTTTTTACTAGAAAGTTAATGGATTATATGCTTCTACTTCTATTTACCAATATATATAGAATGAAATTGGGGCCTTTCCAACTCCAATTGAATAAGAGTATTCGTTCAAATCTAACAGTGATAGCAAGAAGTGAGAATCTCATTTAGGGCCCCCACAACACAGAAATTTGCACTTTGGGCCTAATAGAATATGAAAATACACTGTAGGCTTGAGGATTTTTTTTGCAAATTTTGTTGTGGACAAAAAGACACATTCACCCTTGTCTCCACAAAATGTCTATGTATGTATAACACAATATTCATGAATTCTCAACACAATATTCATGAATACACAATATATTTAATGGACAATAAGCAAAGGATAAAAAACACAATATCCATAAATGTACAATATGATGTCCATCAATTCTACAATAGATATATGTAGACCTGCAATATTTGTACAACATAAAGTTTATAATGAATAACATACTTTTATTAAAACAACATACTTTATGTCACGTTAAAACAAAATATTTTATTTAGCTAATAAAGTTAGGGTTTTGGGCTGTAAATGATCTATTCTCCATTTTGGCTGACATTCTGGGCTTCTTGGGAGTATTTTGGAGTTTTGGTGTGCTAGGACATGGATTCTAGTAGAGATTGAGCTTGCATTTGAAAATTGAAAGAGATTTTGACTTCATATCTTGGTTTTTCTTCTCCATTCTCCTTCATTTCCTCTTGTTCAATGTTTATGCTGATGTATTTGTGTTTTCTTATGGGTTTTATGAACATTTGTAGCTAAATCCTTGATCCTAGGATTATTTTGACCCCTTTGTACATATTAGATACTCATTTTCCCTTTGCATTTGTGATTAATGATATGATTATGTTGATTTTACTTTATACTTAATGCTTATAAGTGTTTAGCTATCATTTAAATGTAGGGTTCACTTGGATGATGCTTAAGAGAGCTAGCTTGAATGTAAATTGTGTCAGAATTTAAAGTTTGCAAGTTGAATGGATGGTTTTGTTAATGAAGTAAAGATATACTCATTAACCTCACATAGTCACATAGAATTCGTAAAAAAATTAGAGTTTAATTAGTTAATTAAGAGATTGAGGAATTAATTAAACTAAACACCTATTTGGAGACTTGAGAGAGCACTTGTGGGTAATTTATTATCCTTAACTAGCTTAATTATTTTGAACCCTTTGTATGAATTAAATACTCATTTCTCCTTTGTATTTGGGATTAATAATGTGATTATATTGATTTTACTCTAAACTCAATACTTCTAAGTATTTGGCCACCATTTAAATATTGGATTCACTTGGGTGATGTTTAAGAGAATTAGCTTGAATGTAAAACTTAGGTAAAATTATGTGAGAATTTAAAGTTTGCAAATTAAATGGATGGTTTTGTTAATGAGGTAAAGATACACTCATTAACCTCATATAATCACATACGATTTGCAAGAAAAATTAGAGTTTAATTAGTTAGTTAAGAGATTAAAAGATTAATTAAATTAAACACCTATTTGAAGACTTGAGAGAGTACTTGTGGATAATTTAGTATCCTTGACTAGAATAATTCATCATTAAGAGCAAAATATATTGTAGGTTGATTGAGTATTCTTGAAGTATAAAGAGGAATAAATAATTCTAGACCTAATTACTTTCAAAAAGTCTTAAATCAATTGATTTTTTTATTTTTTAGTGTTAATTTAGTTTGCAAAATTAACTTTTTTCTATAATTGTATTTGGCTCAACCTGATCAACCTTAATTAGTCTTTTACTTACTCATCATTTTTAAATAAATTCTCGAAAGAACGATACTTTATTCATCTTATATTACTTGTTATGGTCCGTGTACTTGCGGAGAGCAACAACTAGTAGGAAAAAGTGGTAGCCCGTAATTATACAATAATGAAAACCCAAAATTGCATAATGTTGGAAGCATGTAATTGCACACATGTTTGAGTTCTAATTCCTAACTAGTGATATTATAGTTAGGTTTTTCTTGAGACAAAAATGAAAAAGAGGATGTTGTAAGCCCATAATTGTGCAATATTGAAAACATTTAATTGCAAAATGTTAGAAGCTTATAATTGCATGAAAAGAGTTACCAAAACCAACAACCAGAGCTTAGAAGGAGCTTCACATAAGTGCAATCACCTCAATAAAATATTAGACGAAAAAATAACGCATGCTAAAATCTAGGCAAGCCATGGTGCATAGCAAGTTTAGCCGTGATCAGCACTCTTTTTATCGTTAGTTGCAGTGGTGAATGTGCAATCAACCATGGCGAACATGCCAATATGGGGTAATTTGACCTTTTTGCTATCTATTTCATGTATGATAGTATTGGTTTATTATTATATGTTTCGGTTTGCTAGATTACTTTAATTTTAAAGAGTTTGCCTTCAAATATTTGTAAAAGTGTTTCCAATTGATTTGTATTTAACTTTATTATCCTTGGTTGTTTTTATTTATCATGGTAATAACTAATATGGAATTGAGTCCTTTATTATCATAATAATGAATTTAATTAATGGATTAATTGTGATATAGACATTACAGGTACCACCAACGATATGCGCGGCCAAGACCCCTACTAGTGTAAGAAATACGTCTTTTTTTCCCCTAATAGTGTAAGAAATGAAGAAATAATTTTTATATTTATCGTACAATAATTATTTTGGTACATGGATACAATAATTTTTTTCTAAAACACATGGATACAATAATCGCTTGGCGTCAGCCTTTCAAAAATGTTCAGATATTTAAGAGCCCAACAAGTATGAGATTGCTATCTCGTATGGGCTTGTCCACAATAACAAGAGCCCGGCAAAAAATAACCCCCAATATTTCATTCACGAGCCAACACTAAATTGATCTGTCTTTTTTGTCGTCGTCGTCGTCATCATTACCACTGCTACAAACGTCCTTATTTCAATTTAAATGGCTTATGGCTTTTATATGATACCGAGTAGATTATGTTGCAATACCGGAGGTTAGTTATGTCAAGTACCACCTTCATTATTGGAAGGTCAAACTTGCATCTCAAATTAAACAACCGCAGTGATACTCATCAAGTCAACGATCAGCCGCTGCATGCTTCCACTTACCACAAGAATATTGCAAAACATAGTATCAAAATGTTGCAGTTCCTTCTCAAGAGTTCTAACTCCCACTGAAGAAATAATCCTATCAGTCTGGAGAATTGTTAATGAGCCTAGCTATCACTACTAGGGGAGGAGCCATGATTTCGGATGAGATGGCCAATATTCAAAAGCACATGCAGTATAGGGGACTTCAGGGGACCAGACGTGCATAACACCTATATAATTGCCAGGAAAAAAAAATTTAAAAACTTGAGGGGACCATGGCCCCTACCAAACCCCATCCTCGACACTCATCACCATAAAATATGTATACATGTGTGCGTGTATCTTATAGAATCCAAAGATATATATATCTTTTGCACCTGGGTCAAGCAAATTGATTTGTTTGGTTATTGTAGGGATCGGGAATGTTTGGAAGGTGAGGAAAGGGGAGATTTTAAGTAGTTTGATTCGAGAGAACGGAAAAGTGAATTTATAAAATTTTAATGGAAAGAAAATATAAAATGAAAATGGTAAGAAAATGTAATTAAAAACTTTAAATGTCACTTATTTATTTATTTTTTTTAAAATAAACTCATTGAGATCCACTCAAAAAAAAAAAAAATCATTTCCATAACCAACCAGGGCCAAGTGGATTAGAACTGATGACTAGGTTTTGGGTTTAGCGATGGATGAAAAACGACAGAGAAAAATGCTGCAACTGTAGACAACAGGAGAACCAATTTAACTTCCATCAGGGAAATGAAGCTTGATCCCGATCGGAGAAGCAGAGGTGAAGATCAATGGATTTTCTGGAATGATCTCCTATCAATTCACATATTATAATTTACTCAGTTACTTGGACTGCCCGTCAGTTTTATCCCTGCTCCTTTTAACGGATTTAAACTTTCGAGTTACTTAATTTTTCTTTATTTTTTGTCATGATTATGGTGAAAGTATAGGTTATAACGCTTATCCATCGATCATTCATCTAACGGTCTTTATAATCCAGTATGTTAACGTGATTGTCTCTCATGGTGGGAAGCAGACGGGAGGAGGAAAGGGGCTTAATCAATTTATTCATCATTTACAAATGAAAGAACAACAATATTCAATGATAGAAGCTCAAGGTGTCTATCTCACAATAGGTCACTCAGAAAGCTATGCATCATTTATCTATTTATACTCTCTCTCCTGAACCAAAACAACTTCTTGTATTGTTATATACAAATTTGCTCAGAACATGAACGGCGTCGGAGAAAATGTTGGCATGACCGTCGGCACAGAAAGTCTCCTGCAATTGCCAACAATTTACGTATTTATTTATCAGGAAAAAAAATGCAAAAGTTGATTTATTAAAAAATTACAAATATGATAGCATATCCAACCAAGATATAAAAAAAGAAAACAAGAAAGAAAGAAATAATAAAAATAAGTCCGTACAATTGGCCATTAATAAACGCATCTTAACATCTTATTTTAGAATGTTTATCCTGAATTGATTAATCCTCAATTTCTTTGGACATTCATGATAGCAGCACAAAATTCCTGAGCTGCACAAATTAAACCACGCAACCTGCTTTTTCTATGAAAATAACTGTAGCGGTGATGATTTGTATTACGCATGAATTATGAATTTCTTGAACGGAAGTCAAATAATCAACAACACCACAGCATATGATCAGTAACATCAAGCGAAAAATGTACACCTACTCTTTGGAATAGCTACGTCTAAATTCTAATAACTTGCTAGCAAAACCAAGCAGCCGCCAACCTCAATTATTAATGCTCACGTGAGATTAATTTTTGTTGGGATATTTTTTTTCCTTTGGGTGCCTGGTGCGTAACAAATGGAAAAATAAAACTAGGAACGCCAAGAAATGGAAATCGTTAAAAAGGAAGAGGAGAGAGATTTATTACTTGTGATCATCGCCGTAACTACGGTGGTGAACCTTAGAAGCCGCATCGGGGCTCCTCCTCTTAACCTCCCTTTCCGGCTCTACCTTGCGGTTCCGGGCATCGCCCCTCTCTCTTGCCTGCACGATATGGTCCTCCGAAATAGATCCCAGCGATGGCCTCCATTCCTGCGCGGTTGTCGCCGTTATCAGCCTTCCGCGTTTCTTACGGTGGCGCGTCCTGGGAGACACTAGCGACCCCTCGTCCTCCGCCAGTGGCTGCGTTGAGGTTGTACTCTGAACCTCGGAACGTCGGGTGGCGGATCCGCACCAAAAAACGAATTCTAAGAACCTCATCAGCCAAATACGCGGTTATTTATAGGGATCTAGATTTAATTTATTCTTTCGCTGAGAAAACAAAGAGGAGGAAAGGAGAGTCTTGGCGGAAATGGGATATTTATATTCCTTGGGGAATCCGAACTTACAGAGTCAGAGAGAGTGTTGGCATTGAAGAAGGGAGAGGAGGAGCTTCATTCTTGTTGATGCGAGGGAGAGAGGGAGGAGATAGCTCAAAGCTGGCTGTGAGTTCTCGACTGTTGCTTTGGGACTCAGTTATATAAGCGAGAAACGGAACGGACGTAACGTAACTCCCCAGACGTGTCACGATCCGGTGCCCATTCACGATATTACCCACAAAGATTGATTTTATTACAATCCTGCCCTTCCTTGAGTGGGCGGGTAGTCACTAGTGAAATAGTAATTCATATGCTGGTGGGCCTGTGGGCTCACGTGGCCCACACCACGTGCTCGGTTTTATGGGTTTTGTTACTATCTTCTTCACTAAATGCTAGATTCTTTAAATTCTGGGCGTAGCCCTCCTTTCTTATTAAATAATAATAATAATAATAATATTACATTTCTTGCTTTCACAAAGGAAAAAAAAAATCCATTTTTCTTTCTCTCTTTGTCTGTTTCATAATCTAACTTATTAATAAAATTGGAAATATTATGACACGAAAATCATATTCTGCCAATTGGGTACTCAAAATACCTAAGACAATGACGTTGGTTTATTTTAATTAACAATAATTTGTAATTTGAAAGAAGGTTATTAACAAATTAAAGTTCTCCGTACTAGCTAGTAAACAAAAATATATTCTTTTCATCCGTATAAGTTTAAAAGTAATACACTCGAAAATAATAAGTGAAAATGGCTAGGCTTCGCATTTTGTCTGGTATATTTATACAACATACTTTAAGATTATCTACCTATATATATTAGGTTAGATTGATACTAATGACCACCTCTTATGTGACACGAGTAAAGTTAATTAATTAAAATAAGTGTTGTTGCCTTATTGACGTTAAACTAAACATCATGTCATCGCCCACTGCATTAAAAAACTGCTTTATCGTGATTATTAATATGATTTTTTAAAAAGTTTTGGTCCCCCCAATACAAATATCCAATTGAAAGTACAAATTAATGGAGGCCACTTGGTTTATTTGTAAGTGATTTTAACTCACCAGCTTCAATAACATTAGAAGTATGGAAGACTTTTCATAATTATTGTAATTGTAAGTATCCTAAATTGACGTTTTCCTTTCACTTTTTCATGCATAAAGCTCGCTATAATCATGTATCTATAAGTAATTTCCCTCCCGATAATGGAATTAGTGAATACAGTTATTTGGCTAGCTTTGTTACATGCAAATCGTGCAATCTGTGTGTTTATAAACTGTGTAATTAATATTACCAAAAAATTGTGTAATTAAAAGAGAGCTAAAATATTCTTACGTCTTGAATTTCATTAGTCTGTCATCTCCGCCGTTCTAATAATTGGGGGAAAAAATCCCCCACAAGAAGAATGTGCAATTAAGGTTTAACACAGACAAGAAGTGGAATTAAAGTTGAAAATTAAAATGAATGTGGAATGCAGCAAGCAGCCCGGTTGTGTCGAGTATTTTATTTATTGTGGCTGCTTTAGTTTCCATTTAAATATGGCAAGAGATACATTAATTATAAATACAAGTGGGTTTCAAAGTAGGTGGTTAATTAATAATTTAGGGATAATGGAGTGTGATTTGTGATGGGTTGATGGTGGAGTTTTTTTTTTTTTTAAATGCCCGTATATATTCTGTCTTCTTCACAAAAGGTGCTTTTAATTATCCTTATCCTTAATTACTTCTAACCTTCAAAATGCTGTTATTTCATTCTGCTGTTCACGCAGGATATATCATAAAGATCGCTTTGGAGATCTTACATAGGATCACTGATTTCGTTACTGTTCATGTTTATTAAAAGGTTTTGGGGAGGTAATAGCATATTAGCCATCAATGGATGGGTGGCAGGGAGGGGAGTTTTCACGAATTCGAGAGACTATAGCTTATCACAATAGTATTTAATATCGAATGACAATATGCTATTTTTTCTCATGTGCAGGTGTAGCAAAATTTCTTAAATTATTTATTCCATGTTTTTTTGGCAAGGAAGGAGGACAGAAAAGGGAAGACCACCGAATTTGAAACAAACATGCCACAACAAAAATAAAAAGAATATTTCTGCAACAAAATGATTCTGTGCTCCCAAAAATAAATAGGGTTATAGTCTATTTTTGTCTTTGAACTCTACTTGTAGGATCATTCAATGTCCTATACTCTTCTTCGGGTCATTCTTCCCCTTAAACTTTAAAAAATGATTCACATATGTCTTGGCAAGCCCAGTCATAATTTTTTCTTAAAAAAAAAAAAATCCTCTCTCTCTCTAATCTCCAGCAAATCCTCAGGCAAAGAACAAAACCTATCTACCCAAATGATTTCAACGCATCTGGTAGGGGAAGTGGAAATGAACGAGAAGAGCCCCTTCGGCACCTTGACCGTCGATGAGTTCTATGGCTCCTTGATTGAAGAGGGATTCACGTTCGCCGTGCTCTAGGATTTGCATTTGCCGTCACAAGACCTCATCTCATTGATGGTTTGCGTTTGTTGTGGTTCAGATTTAGTGGATCTCATGGTTTTGCATTTGCTATGCTTTAGATCTAGTATCTTATGGATCTCGAGCAAGCTACCACCGTGAAAACCATCGACATCCTCCCTAGCACCACCATTTTGTACTTGCACGACATCCAATAGTGAAGCAAATTTGGGTTCCAAATCTAGAGTTTTTTTTTTTTTTGGGTCATATGGGATGCTTGACTATGGCATCCAAATAATCACCAATTGTTTAGTTCAACTGAAGCTCTGATCTTTGATTTTTTTTTTTTCTTGATACATGGGATACATTAATAATATGGCTTGATTCCTATATTTTCTCATAAATGGTTTTGGATTTGATTTACCCATTATTTTGATTTCCACAAAGCTCAACTATGCCTTCAATCTTATCTTGTTTGTAGTTTTGGTTATGTAAATATAGCTTGATTTTTGGGTCTAATCGAATAAAATATTGTGTTTTTTGGGTTTAATTGTTGGGTGTGTTTTTTAGGTTTCTCTTTCATCTCAACGATTTTGTTCCTTTATGGATGAGTTTTTTTACTTTTGATTTGGGTTTGATTCATGTCGAGTGGCTTTGCTTTTTCTTTTTGTTTTTGTTTTTTGCGTTGTTCACCCTTTGATTTTGGGGTTGGGTTTTTGATTTTGCCCTGCTAATTTGGTTTCATTTTGATTTGTGAGTGTTTGTTGAATGAAATAAATGGCTTAAGATGAACTCTATCAAAGCATGAAGAGAGACTAGGAAGATGCTAACTCAGAATATGAATATTTGAGTTTGTATATTGAGAATAACTCTTGGCATGCCACTAACCCAATAACACATGGATGACATATGGGTTGCCAACTATGTAAAACTTAACATTGGTCGTCATTATTTGACAGTAGGATAGTGGGTGATCTATTTTTTTTTATAATTTAAGGGGTTATTTGGACTAAAGTAAAATATAGGACACTAGATGCTCTTAGAGCTATAGTTTAGAGAAAAAATGGACTTTAATCCAAATGAATAATGGTTTAAAACCCTTGGTGATTACATTTTTTTAGGTGCATATAATTTTTGAGGTCCATCATGATATAGTTCTAGGAGACCCAACTTTATATAAAGTTAGATCCAATAAATGGTACAGGTTTACTCATTCAATAAGTGTTCCTATATGAGATAACAATCATTTAATTTAACCAAATGACCTTTAAAAATTTTATCATATGAGCACTCTATCAAATTTTTGGAAAGAAATATATTTTGATAATTTTTAAATATTGATAAAATTCAATAACTATGATTAGGGTACTTAAATTTAGACAACAAACTGAATCCAACACCAACTTTATATTGCAACTTATTATGACCAATTATAGGCAAAATAGGGTATAGAAAAGGCAGAGAATTTCTGAATCTAAAGTGACGACGACCACATAACCATATTCTTCAGGCATTGAATTTCTCGTTCAAAGAAGTTTGATTCCGTTTCCTGATTCAGGTGTGAGTATTTAATTTTGAGGACCCAGAGACAGATGTAGCGATATATAACGACTAACCGATTAATTGCACGTTCAAAATCCATTTCCCACCACAATCGTCTCTCTAACAATAATTTGCATAATCTTCTTCTTCCTGTTGTCATTATCCATTGTCGCTCCTTTCCCTCTATGTGTCTAGAAGAAAAGGGCCTAGAAGGTCCCATAAACTGTGTGTGTAGGAGAACAAATTTGTCTGGTTTGCAGAAAAAGTTAAATCTGCTAAGAAACGAGAACGCATGCCTGCAGAGAAAATAACAATAACTCTCCATCTAACAACAACCATATCATTGTCGAAAAACGTTGACATGAAAATATCCACTGTTTGGTTTCTTTCTGTGTCATAAATTTGCCGGGGTTGCCTGGGAAAGAGGGAATTGCTCTCACATCATTGGTTCATTGCTTTGAAGGGAATTGAGGACTTCATGGGGGCATTGATGAATAGAGGCCATATGTGCAATAGGAGAATCAGCTGTGTGAGCGTGAAAGTGCATCGAGTCGCTTTAGATGATACAGTGTTGGGAACTTCATTTAGACGTTTTAAGTCTCCCACACATATATGGAATATTCAGGAACCACGCTAGTTCACATCAGAAAACAACACCTATACATTGCCTTTGTATTATTTAGCTCTGTGAATTGGAAGGGGATTCAATTCATCCAGCACAAAAATGTCTCATTTTTTATTATTATTATTTAATCTGTCAATGAACTCTTCATTGGCATCTTGTACTCGTGTGGGGCACTTATATCAGCTGCCGCTTTCTCTCTTTTTTTTCCCCCTCTGCTAAAGTATGGTGTTTAGAGAATCACCAGATTTGATGAGATGATAGCTTGGATATCTTCTCCAAAAACTATGTTTGCCATACGTGAATCCAGCCACTTCAAGAGCCTTGTCTCCCTAGTGACCTTTATCATTGCGTTGGTGATATTAAAAATTTTCCATAATTAATTTAATTAATTCAATCATACAGGAGATTCAATTATCTTTGATTCAATATTTTTTCTACTATGGAAGTAGTCCATGATGTCATGGTGTGTGTGAATTTTTTTTTTTCGAGTGGGGGGAGTTTCTGGTAAAAGTT